CATGTTCTTTGCAACTGTTGCAAAATAGAGCTGCATATAGAAAATGATCACTAGAGTGACTCAAATGGTACAACAAACATTCATGATTTACAAGTTTTGTCACATTTAATGATCATAATCACTTGTATGATGTAAACATAAAATAATCCAATTTTATAGATGAGAAAACTCTGAATTGGAAAACTCCAATGTCACACAACTAGTAAAGGAGAGCTAATGGGTGGTACACTGATTAAATATTTGTACTTTGGAGTAGTGTCTGTCGCTTACTGTGTGACTTTGAGTTTCTCTAATCTGGAGGGAGGGAAAGATCTTTTATCCGATAGTTCATTTCCCAACTTCTCTCAATGACTAGGGCTGGGCCATGCCAAAACTGGGAGCCAAGAGCTAAGAATTCTATACAGGTTTCTCACATGAATGATAGGGGCCCAATTAATTAAGCCATCACTTGCTACTTCCCAGGAACATTAACAAGGAGGAGAATCAGAAGAAACTCATCTGGCACCTGAATCTACACTTGGGTATGAGATGCTGACATCACAAGTAGCATCTTAATGCACTGTGCCACAATGTCTAGTCACCTTCTATTTACTTTTTAACATCCACTTGAAAGGAAATTATCTCAATTCCTGTGCTTCTTTCACCAAATATAGAAGGATGGGAAGCATGGATAAAACCATAGCCTGGGATGGAGAAGCAAGATGGCAGAATAGGGTAAGGACACGTTTAAACAGAAGGAGGAACATTAGCCAGGGTGAAGCAGAGAGGACACATTCCAGGAAATAGGAGAGGACAGAACAATGGCAGAGGGGTACCTGGAGACTGCCAGACACAGGAAAGCAGCGTGTACAATGGTGTGGGGTTGCAGTGACTGATATCCCAGTGGCATTCAGCCAACGGTGATCTGAACTGCACCAGCAACCGAAACTCCACCAGCAATAAGGTGAGAACAGGCTTTCACTGGGACAAAGAACTTTGCAGACAAAGAACAGCTCATCCTGCTGGTCTGTTTGATTTGATTAGGAGCAGAGACAGAGCAGCAGGCCCCAGGCAGGCAGTATGGAAACAGGGTGGTTTTGACAGCCCACTCTGCTTCCTAGAGCCGAATTGGGTGCCATTTTATATAGGGAGACAAAGGCTATGGGACAGTACTGCACATGCACTAAGCTGGGAGTGAACTCATTTCTGGCTCAGTGAACTGCAACAACATGGCATCCTACAAGTTCCACCCAAGATAGGTCCAATCAGCCCTCAGACCTGACTGCCAGCAGAACTCTAGTAGCATCACATCAGGCACCATTTCTTCCAGTATGGCAAAGATTTTAAGACTACACGTGATAACAGTGAGCTGTGCATGTGCTGAGCTTGGCGAGAACTCACTGAGCTCAATGCATTGCACTGGTTCCACAGGGACCGACTTTGGCATTGTATGGGTCAAAATAGGTCAAAATATGCAACCTGCTGGCATTGTATGGGTCCCATGCTTATTAGCATGGAGGTGGATCAGAAGTGGAGCAGCTGGATCTTGAACAAAAACCAATACGGTATTGCTGAAGTCCCAGGTAGCAGACTAACCTGCATCATACCAGCCCCAAACCAATTTTGTTTTTTAATGTATTCTCTATATATCTACTTGCCCCCTCTAATCACTTTACTTAGCATTTTTTTGACGATAGCCTATTCTGCATGTTCCCTTACTCAGGAATAGGAATACACACCGCATCCCTGAAAACATCACACATAATACCTGGGGCACTTCTTTGGCTTGGTATGCATTTTCCAGGTGACATGGGAAATCTTTCTAGATGAAAGAGAAATACCCATGCCTTCAGCCCCTAGAAAATTTACTACAAATATCATGGGTGCTGTTTTTCTGCTTTACCTAACATTGTCTAACCCTTAGCTCTGACTTGGTGGGTATGCCTTAAATAATGCAAACCTCTAATCAAACCATCTATTTAATTCAGAGAGAATTTCCTGTGACTACACTTCAGCCAAGGTACTCTGGAAGGATATAAGAATAAATAAAATGGGGTCTCTGCCCTAAAGGAACTTGTAATCTGTACAGGGAAAGATAAGAAAAACACATAAATCTAACATAGTGTTTGGTGAGCTCATTGCCCGAAAACTGATGTTTTACATTTCTAATGTCAGTTTAGCCTTGTGCTAAGCACTGTTTGGTGCAAACGATAAGGATGTGATTGATTTTGTTAGTGAGGCTTAAACCCAAGTCTATCAGAATAGGGAGAAAATATGGACTCTAGTGATAAAAGTTTTAAAAACAAAACAGAATTTAAGCTACATGTTGTTAGGATAGATAACATCATGATAGAGACTGGAAAGAAGGAAAGAGCCTTCTGGAGAAGAGATATAGTGTGACTGTGACAGGAACGTTAAGATTTATTTCATTTGTTTGGAAGGCAGAGTGACAGGAAGGGTGAGAGAGAGAGCAGGACATAGATATTTCATCTGCTGATTCACTCTCCAAACGGCTGAGGCAGATCAGGTACTGCATCTGATCTCCCATGTAAATGGCACAGGACTTCCGTTGCTTTCCCAAATGCATCAGCAGGGAGTTGCTTGATTTTCTGAAACATCTGCATTTTTCAATTTAGTCTTCAACAGGTTGAGTACCTTGTAACCTGGGAGTGAAACCATTAAGAATGTCAACAGTCAGGTTTTCCATCTCAGCCCTCAATGTCTACAGAGCATGATTTTTATTCAAATAATTTTTTGGAGGAAGTGTTCTGTGCCAAAACAAAATGAGTACAAGTTGCAGTGGAAAAAAGAAAAACTCATTCAAGCAATTCCTTAAAGCCAACTTTTAGAAAGTAATGCTGCAAAAGCAAACCTACAAAATTCTGAGACAATCATCAGCAAGGAGCTAATTAGCATCACTTTTCCAAAGCAGCAAGGAAGGAAGTTCGTTGAACTTCCAGGGTTATCTTTCCCTTTTTGTCAGGTGCCTTCTTGGTAGGAATATTGGATAGGTAGAATAAGATATATACTTAAATCTTACTGTGCCTTTTTCTCTTGGTTTGACAAAATGAATTATTCTCTGTATCTCCCTCAGTGAAAACCTGGGCCCAAACAACTGCTTTCTATTCAAACTGATGGACAAGAATCCCTTAATTGGTACTAACATTTAGTTAGATAGGAGTAAGAAGTTGTGTTCTATGGCATGGTTGGGTTACTATAGCTAATAACAAAGCATTGCATATTTTTCTAAAAAGAACTGGAAGAAGGGATTTTGACTGTTTTAACCATGGAAAATGTTAACTGTTTGACAGTATGGATTTATTACCCAGATTGGACAATACTTACTATCTACATGTGTAGATACATGATACAATATCCTGTAAACATGCAATTTTTATGTGTCAATTAAATATAAAATTTAAAAAAGAATACCTGGGAGGGGGCACAGCATAGAGCAGAGTGGATAAAACCACCACCTACAATGCCAGGATCCCATATGGGGGCCAGTTCATGTCCCAAATGCTCCATTTCTGATCCATTTCCATGCTAAGCAATGAAAGATGGCTCAAGTCCTTGGGTCCCTGCTACCCATGTGGGTAATGTGGATGGAGTTACAGCCTGGGTCAGCTCTGGTGTCTCTCCCTCTCTCTCCCTCTCTCTGCCTTTTAAATCAATAAATCATTTTTTAAGAAGCCCGTAAATCTGGGATTCCTGAAAAAATGCAACGATGCACCCACCATGAGACCATTAGTTCACACATGCTCACAGCCACTTTTACTTCACCTTTTCTAGAAGCAAACAACCGTGTGTCTGGTTAACTCAGCGGTATGAGAGTTTGCCAATCTGCTGGGGCAAGAGAACCCCTGACCCCTATCTGGCTGCCTCTGTCTTTAGGGATCTAGACCTCACACTTTTTGGAGCACCCTGGGTGGTAGATTAACTTCATAAAAGGTATTAGGTTGAAACTTTGGGGACTGACCCACTGTCAACATTTTTCAGTCTTAAAGAGCCAAGTACATTGTTATGCTGAAAGTGTGAAGAAAGCGATTATCTGCACATTAAGCCAGCTGAGTTAGAGTGTACTCAGCTCTCCTAAAAAGCTAGAGGTCAGAAACAAAACATTTGTACCATAAATGATGTTGCTTGTTAAACCCAAAGCCTCTTATTTTCTAAATATTTCATTCCTCTGTAGAAACACATCGGCACCTAAAGCACTATAATAGCCACCACAATTATGTCCGGTGGAATAATAGCAAGAGAAGGTAATTTTGTGAATAGTAAGATCCAAAACATTCCATTAAAGTCAGATGATGTTGAGCTGTCAGCACAGTTATTTAAGTCAAATGCCAGCCAGTATTACAGATCAGATAATGGGGATAAACAAAATAATCGTAGTTCATACTAGAACAGGTTGGCTCTTCTTGGAATGTGAATATCTGGGTTGGTTACAAATGCTTCTGTGTACCACACGAGTCTTTAGAGCTTTCTAGCTGTCTGCTGTCTTCAGGGATTAGACGAGGCAGAAAAAATATGTCCATGAATGAATACCCCCACCCAGTTAAGACAGAGCGGCATGTGATCACTGTTTTTAGTCTGTTTTGTGTTGCTATAATGAAATGCCTGAGGCTGGATGTTTTATAGAGTAAATGGGTTTATTTCACTCATAATTCTAGTGGCTGGAAGATCCGAACAGTCTGGCACAGGTGTCCTGGTAAGGGCCCCCAGGCTGCATGACAAAATGGCAAGGGAAATGGCAACATGCAGAAGGGGCCAAAACCCGGAGTTTGACCTCACTTTTAGAGCAACCTGGCTTTTTGAGAAGTAACAGGGGTCCCGCAAGAGCTTCAGTCACCTTTTCACTGAGAGGCAACCTAATGACCGACCTTCTACTAGGCTCCACCTCTACCTAGTTGATTTCCAACTCAGCAACACTGCCACACTAGGCATCAAGCTTCCAGCACATGAACCTCTTCAAGGACACACCCAAGCATGGCACTCACCCGCGTTTTTCAATGTTACAGATTATCCAGAAGCCTCTTCGTCTCTTACTGTGGAAACGGAAACATAGCAGTTTTCACTTTTTCCTGCATCTCTCAGACAGGTCAGTATTCTCAGGGAGGCACATTCAGTGCCACATGGACTGCTAAGATGCAGCCCTGCAGCAGAACTCAGAAAGGACTAAGTTCTTACCCTGGTGAGAAAACTGTTAAATTCCTCACTCTGTACTGCACACAAAAGCAGAAGTTCAACACATGATTTCTCTGTGCAGTGTACTGGGAATAGATGCCCTCCTTCCCTACAAACTCATACATACATCACTTGTACTAACAGTCGCCAGGGGTCCCCAGCCAACCATCCCATTCGGGTTATTTGTTTTCCTACTGTGAATTATAAATCTTGCCCTGGTGTATGCCAGGTGTCTGAAATGATAGCAATTACAAATAGAGTCTTTTTGTCTGACTCTGTGGTCAGTTAACAATCTACTCTTACCTACTAAGAGGCCAAAAAAGGTCCTCCTTAAACTCACTGACTTCATGGCCTGCCGTTTCCATTATGGCACTGCATTTTTAAAAGCCAGGTTTAACAGAAGGAAGAATTAAATGTTTGTTCTTATTCAAACCCTTGATAATTGATGTTTAAGCAAAACAGCTTGTGTGGTAGTAATATCTAGACTTCAGTTGGATGTGGTTCTCATCTTAGTTGTGCACTTATTTTAGCATTTTGCTAACGGTTTCAATGAAATACTTAACAGACGTTGAAGTGGAGAAAAATTGCTCTGGAGAATAAATTTGGGAAATCATGGTGCAAGTAGGATTAAAAAAAATTTTTTAAAGATTTATTTATCTTCGGGCGCGGCGGCATGGCCTAGCAGCTAAAGTCCTTGCCTTGAATGTGCCGGGATCCCATATGGGTGCCGGTTCTAATCCTGGCAGCTCCACTTCCCATTGAGCTCCCTGCTTGTGGCCTGGGAAAGCAGTGGAGGATGGCCCAAAGCTTTGGGACCCTGCACCCATGTGGGAGACCTGGAAGAAGTTCCTGGCTCCTGGCTTCGGATCAGCTCAGCATCGGCCATTGTGGTCACTTGGGGAGTGGATCATCGGATGGAAGATCTGACTTTTCAATGAAGATAAATAAATCTCTTTTTTAAAAAGATTTATTTATTTATTTTGTATAAGAGGAGGAGAGACAGAGAGAAAGATTCCCTGTCCGATGATAACGACTGCTTTCCCAGGCCACAAGCAGGGAGCTGGATGGGAAGCAGAGCTGCAGGGACCAGAGCCGGCGCCCATATGGGATCCCGAGCGCATTTAAGGTGAGGACTTTAGCCGCTAGGCCACACCGTCAGGCCCAAGACTTCTAATTTTTTTAAGATTTATTTATTTTTATTGCAAAGTCAGATATACAGAAAGGAGAGACAGAGAAATATCTTCCATCAAATGGTTCACTTCCCAAGCAGCCGCAACAGCTAGAGCTGAGCCAGTCCGAAGCCAAGAGCCCTGAGTGTCTTTCGGGTCTCCCACGTGGGTGCAGGGGCCCAAGGCTTTGGGCCATCCTCTGCTGCTTTCCCAGGCCGCAAGCAGGGAGCTGGATGGGAAGCAGTGCAGCCAGATTTGAACTGACGTCCATATGGGATCCTGGTGCTTTCAAGGCAGGGACATTAACCACTACACTATCGCGCCGGGCCCAGGACTTCTAATATATTTTTAAAAGATTTTATTTATTTTTATTGGAAAAGCAGATTGACAAAGAGAAGGAGAGACAGAAACAAATATCTTCCATCTGCTGATTCATTCCCCAAGTGGTTGCACTTGTTGAGCTGAGCCAATCCAAAGCCAGGAACCAGGAACTTCTGGGTCTCCCATGTGGTTGCAGGGTCCCAAGTCCTTAGGTCGTCCTCGGCTGCTTTTTCAGGCCACAAGCAGGGAGCTGGATGGGAAGTGGATCAGCCGGGATATGAACCAGCACCCTTATGGGATCCCGGCGCAGGCAAGGTGAAGACTTTAGCCACTAGGGCACTGCGCCAGGCCCAGGACTTCTAATGTTTTAAGGAACTTGGTGAGCCACCAAAACTAATATAAACATTTTTCAAACTTACATGACTGTGTAAGTCTTTTTTGCAGAACATCTTTAACTGATATTGAACCATCAAGTACAGTTTTATATGCTTTTCTATATAAGCAAAATTGCCTTTAAGCAATGCTGTTTCCAGGACACTGGAAACTCATTAGCAGATTTGTTTTGAGGAGAACAGCAAAGACATATTCTGATCATAATAAAAAGGTGTTTGGGAACATAGGAGGATAGAGTGAGAGAAATATTTTAAAGCTTACCAGAATATGAAGAATTAAAAAAATATATTTGCAGATAATTATTATAGTGATATTTGTAAAAGTTCTTAACTGGAAACCACTTCATTGTCCATCAGTTAGAGAATGATTTATAAATTATTACGTATTTTGCAAGTTGTTCCTTCATTTTATTTTGAAAAGTGTTTACATTAACAAAAAGAATGGGGGCAGACATGTCGTCTGGCAGTTAAAGTGGAGATTAAGAAGCTTGCATCCCAGATCAGAGTGCCTAGGCTTGACGCGTAGTTCTAGCTCCCAATTTCACTCTTCTGCTGATGCACACCCTGTTAAGACCCTGCAAGGCAGCGGATGGAAGATCTTTCTCTGTTTCTCCTTCTCTCTGCAACTCTGCCTTTCCAATGAAAATAAATAATTCTTTTAAAAAATGAAAGACAAGCTTCACAAACACTGGCAAAATACCCAACACACAAAGTTTCTCATCCTTAATTTACAAAGCTCTTGCAAATCAATAAGCAAAAGAAAGCTACAGCAGCCGGAAAATAGACAAAGAATGGGAAAAGAAAATTAAAAAATAAAAACAAGGAATAAACAGGATAGTAGTTCAACTTCATTGTAAAGAAATACAAATTAAGGTAATGTAAAATACATATTTTTGCCCATTAAATGAGGCATTTTGTACAAATTATAGTACCTACTGTTGGCAGGGACATATTGAAGCAGGTGTTCTTATGCACTGATGATGTAAATTTAGATTCATTGATCATTTTGAGAGAGTTTGGCAGCATGTATAAACCTTAAAGTGTTCATATAATTTTATCGGGTAACTAACTCCATTTTAGCAATATATTTTAATGAAATAATCAGAGATCTGCAAAGCTATATATCTGCTGTTATGACAACAGAAAATCTGAAACAAAATGTGTAGCAATACAGAAGTGGTGAAATCAATTGTTACATTATTATGATGCAATATTGTGCAGTCCTTAAAAGTCATTATGTTGAAGAATAACAGGTTTGTGTGAATAAGCTATGTAAATGCAGTTTGAATTTCTTTTGTTTTGTTTAGCTTTATGTATTTGAAAGCATTACTGGCAGAGGGAGAGACAGTGAGAGCCAGACATCTCCATCTGGGCCTCCCACATGACTGGCAGGAGCTCAGACACTTAGGTCATCTTCCTTTGCCTTCCCAGGCCCTTAGCAAGGAGCTGGATCAGAGGTGCAGCACCTGTGACTCAAATGCTGTTCATATGGGATGTTGACATCACAGGCAGCAGCCCAATGTGCACTGCCACAATACTGGCATGCAATTGAGTGGTTTGTAGTATAGTCACAGAGTTCTGCAACCACAGCCACAATCAATTTAAGTACATGTCCTCAAAACTGTTTTTCAGAACGTGTGTTGTGGTACAGTAGGTTAAGCTACCACTTGCAATATTTGCATTCCATGTGAATGCACCTGAGAAAGCAACAAAGAGTGGCCCAAGTACTTGGGCTCCTGCTCCCACGTTTGAAACCAGGATGAAATTCTAGACTACTGATTTCATCCTGTCCCAGTTTTGGTAATTGCAGCCATTTAGGGAATGAATCAGTAGATCAATAAAATATGTCCATCTCGGTAACTCTGTCTTTCAAATATTTTTAAATCTACTTTTATTTCCATGAGAGGCAGAGAAAGAGAGAGAGGAGACCTTTCATCTGCTGACTTACTCTCCACATACAGCCACAGTTTTGGGCCAGGCTGCAGCCAGAAATCCAGAACTCAATTCAAGTCTCTCATGTGGGTGACAGAGATCCATATACTTAAGCCATCACCTCTGCTTCTCAGGGTTCTAATGTGAACCTGGAATTGGGAACAGAAATAGGACTTGGACCTAGGCACTCAAATATGGGATGCTGACATGGCAAGCAGTGTCTTAACCACTGTGCCGAATGACTCCCCCAATCTTATGTACTTGGATTACCTCCCAAAGAAACTATATATTTTTAAGAGCTCTTCTTCTAATTTATTTTTATTGGAAAGGCAAATTTAAGAGAGAGGAGAGACAAAGAGAAAGATGTCCAAATTGCTGCAATGGCCAGAGCTGAGCTCATCTGAAAGCCTCTTTTGGATCTCCCACGCGGGTGCAGGGTCCCAAGCTTTTGGGCCGTCCTCTACTGCTTTCCCAGGCCACAGGCAGGGAGCTGGTTGGGAAGTGGAGCAGCTTAGACATGAACTGGCGCCCATGGGGATTCCAGTGTTGCAAGGTGGAGGATTAGCTAGCCACAAGACCCCATACATATTACCAGTGACTCCTCATTATTATCAAACCCAATTCTAGGCAATCACTAGTATACATCTCTCTACAGATGTGTCTGTTCTTGATGTTTCGTGTAATTGAAATAATACAATATGTGATTTGTAGGTAGAAAATATTTGCAAATCAAATGTCTGATAAGAAATTTGCAAAGAAGATACACAGATTGCCAATAAGCACATGAAAAGATGCTCCTCAGTCATTCAAGAAATGCAAATCAAAATGACCATGAGATAGCATTTAACATCTGCTAGGATGGCTATAATCCAAGAGACAGATAACAACAATGTTGGTGAGAACATGAACAAATCAGAACTTCTATACATTGCTGGCAGGAAAGTAAAATGTTGCAGGTATTTTGGAAGATGTTTTGACAATTCCTCAATATAGTAAGCATGTAATTACCATATTACCCAGAAGTTCTACTCAGTGTATAAACAGGAAAAATGAAAGCATATGAGCACACAAAAGCTTGAACGTGATTGTCCATAGCACTA